CCGTGCTGGGCATGGAGCCTGCTTGGGATTACCTCTCTCCCTCTGCCCCCCCGCCACCCAACAAAAAAAAAAAACTTAAGATAGAAAAGACTCTAAAAACATTTTACCAAAAATGAACACTACCACTACCTCGTATTTATGTGGTAATTTATATATTAAAAGTACTTTCACGACATCTTATTTTGTGCTCACAACAAACCCTGTGAGGTGGGTGGTGGGTTTGTAGAAAAGGCAAATACAAGTCATTCCTATTTCCCAAGTGAGGAAAGTAAGAGGCTTCAGTTACTGGATTAAAGCCACACAATATCTTCATGGTTGCAGGTCTTCTGGTATCAGGTTGAGCATTTTTTCCAAAATACCCAGGTAGCATTTACCAGGGAGTATTCATCTAGCTTCCTCTTTCTGCCAATAATCTCAACACAATTCTAACGTAACCTTCTGCAGCAATCTCTCTGCCTTGTGCTTGAATATGGTCTTTTCTGAAGCTGGAATCATGGAACGGGTAAAGATTCTCTGTCTTCTTTTCACTTTGGTTCCTGTGCAACAGGACACCTTGAATGCCTTCCATGGCAGTCCTCAAGGGTGGCTGGACAATACCACCATTGTTCAAAACATTCTTCACTGGAAGTTGCCTTCTGAGAACCCAATTTCTTCCCAGAAGAAAACCAGTCTACTGGTTGAGAGTTATGTTTCATTTTTAAATTACAAATGGCATCATTAGCTTGATCATCTTCCTTAGTCAGATGTGTGGCTGTTTCCTAAACTTCAATCTAAGCTCAGAGACCAAAACTTTAGAAACACTGAGTATATTCAAACATGCTTGTTACAGACTGAGGGCTTATCACAAAGACGTTCCAGAAAGGTTAGTGACAACAGCACCCTCTGAACAGAATTCCCCTGAGGAAGAAAACCCTCATAAGGAATATATAGCAACGATATGAATAAAAACAATGGCTTGTGTGTGTGTTGAGTGGCCCTTTATATGTCTTGTCTAATTTAATCCTCAGAAGAATCCTATGAGGTAAGACAAAGTTCTGTTTGTTTAAAACTCAAACATTGCCACGCGGTCACACATGGGTCATGCCTTATATCATAAAGGGCAAGAACTAATTCCTAAATCCTATAGGAATGAAGAGCTAATGCCTCTCAACAGCTACCATCTCCTCAGAGGGTTGGTCTGTAGGGATCTGACCCAATTTGGGGTTTTTCACACATTTTCAAGCCTGTTAGTGTTCTGCCATTCCCATATCAGTGCACATTTTAGTCTATTTTCAGTGGATGCAGAGTGTAGGGAACAGAAATAAGTACATTTTTGGCTCAGAGAAATTCAAGACATTTCCAGTCTTCCTCAGTCTGGCTCCATGGCTCCAATATGATTTCTATCATACCCATCTCACTATCCTGGGAAGGTGCCTTTGCTCTCCAGGCCCATAGATACCAGCCGGCCGCAGAGCACAGCTTCTTAAGACACCATCACTTCTTACCAGGCTGGTACCATTGGCCTCCAGCACCTTCTTCTCTGCAATAGATTTGGTCCGAGAGTAGTGATCGGGATGGAGGTGAAGAGGTAGGTAAGGCAGAGATTCATCTCCATTTCTGATAACTTGACCTCCAAAGATGACATTGAAAGTGCTGGTGTAAACAAATCTTGGCACCCCTCTCCTCCTGCAAACCTGGAGGATGTTGTCTGTGCCCCCCACATTGACTTCTTCAATCAGGCTCCAATTCAGCTGCTCCCGCCCCGACATGCTGTAAGAGGCAATATGGAACACACACGTGACATCCGCATCCTGGAAGGCGCTCTCCACGTCAGAGAGGTGGCGAATGTCTCCATGGATAAACTTGATTCCTTCTGGAATAGAATGAGCAGGGCTGCTGATGTCAAACAGAATCACATGGAATCCTTTCTGGTTCAGAGCACAGCCTAGGCGGAAACCAAAATAGCCACCTTCTCCTGTAATGAGGACAGTTTCCTTTGGAGATTTTTCGAAGTCCATGTGTGACAGTCAAAAGATCACTGGACAGCGTCGAAGACGGCAGCACCTGCAGACCGCGACAGGCCAGGAGCCCAAGCCTCGCGAGCCCGAACATTTGCTCTTTTTTAAATGCAGTTTTAGGATTCAGATGTTTCCCCAGTGTGTCTCTTTTTTTGTCTTTTACCTTTTACTTTTTTTTCACAAGAATTAAAACAATAATAAATGAAAATAGCTAAGGTGAGCAACAGGAAATAAATCAGTGATTCCTTTGTATCCAGGCCTGGGGACACACAAAAATTCTAGAAAGAGAATTTTAGAGATGGAAAGGACTTAGGGAGATCAGTGCTGGCACTTTTCTCATTTTATGGATGAAGAAACCGAGTTGCCTGGGTTGTCTGTGTAGCTAGCTGATGAGGAGTAGATTTGGAACTAGTCTGCAGGCTTTCTGATCCCCAGCTGTGTGTTCTTACCTTTGGTCCTACTTTTTCGCCTGTGTTTTCTTCTAACTTAAAGTATGGATGCTTCTTTGGTATTTATCATTGTGCAGCTTGGACTTTATCTTGGGTTTTGCCCCGTTTTTCTGATGATAGAGATTGATTGGGGTGGTACAAGTTAGGTCCAGCACTTTCACTTGTCACTTTCCTATGTGAGAGCTCTGCTTCTCTCAGTTATTAAAAAAGCTTTTAAGAAAAGCACATGGTTCTCCACCTGACCATTTCATAAATGTTTTTCTTTATCCCAGTAAATGATCCTTGAAAAATCACTTGACTTCTCCCAGCTTTTTTCCTGATTAGCATAAATTAAGAGCCAGTCTTTCCAAAGCTTACCTCCCAAAGTTACATGTAGAATGACATCGAGTAACTTGGGCATTTCTTCATGCAAGGTCTCATTCATATCATGAGCTGCTCTATTGTTTTACAAAAATCAGTATTGGTACATTGTGCAAGAAGTCAAAAACTCCTCCCCCAAGACAGTGTTGTTAAATGTAGCTAAATAGGTCTGGATAGAATGGGCAATGTACAAAAATAACTTTAAAGAACAAAACTGGGAAGAGTGTTGAGAGACCACAAGGACTTGAAAGCAGAAATTAAAAGGAAAATGAAGAGAGCAAAGCAATGTGTTTCTCGTTGGGCCGAGTTCCCCTGAGGGACCCTGTATTCAAATACTCTTTGACATTGCATTTGAGTTCTTAGCTTCCAAAGGCCGCTGATACCACAGAGACCCAACAGTGTGTAATGGTTCCTTCATCTCGTGGGCCTCTAGACGCCTCCTATTACAGCCCCACGTTTAAAAATAGCAGGGAAATGAGAGAAAATCATAAACTCGCTATAATAAAATTAGTGCTTGCGTGAAAGACTATTGCCAGAGAACAGCTTTTAGAAGGCCCATGGCTGCCAGAAGGCCGCTGGGTGTTGGCAGTGTTCAAGTATTCACTGGCCAGCATGTTAAGACCCAAATTAGGCATTTTATTAAAGATAGAGTGTCTTTTCTTTATGATCGTGAGTGTAAAGAGATTTTTTTTTAAGTAATAGAAAATGGATCAGAAAAAGTGGATTGCCATAGTAAATAATTGTGTTACTTATTCTCACCAAAAAGAGAAGTAGAAATTAAATAATTTTGACTGAAGAAGCAATGTTACTGCTTTTCTCAAAAAGACTGATTAAGTGAAGGATGTCTAATAGCTTATACCTAAGGAACTAGATGTCTAGGTAAGGAACACCACCACTGCTGACAAAAAGCTAATTCTTTATTAATCTGTAAAAGGAGAAAAAAAGTAAGACTTCGACATGAAGGTATGGTGAGGATCATTGCATTTCCCATTAAATGCATACTTGCAGAAGATCTGGAATTCTCATTACAACTTGAAAGGAAAACTGATTCTCTCTTAGAATCAGATATTTTCAAACTAGTATGTCACAGAGCCTGCTCTGGTTCAATGGTTCTTGCTACTAAGTATGCATTCCCGTGGCAACTGGCTTTCATTCCCACATATATCATTAACATAGATGAGTCTTGAAGTCAGTCTGCTTTCAAGGATGTGTTTCAGTGACCTGGATGAAAAGATTTTTACCCAACCTTATGAATCAGTCTTTTAAAAGGATTTTTCTTGGCATACACCCCACCCTGTCCCTGCTGTTGAACTTGTAGTACTCCTTTCCTGCGCCCACTGCAGGCAGTAGTCTGGATCAGGTTTCTCTGCAATATTCTTGTTTCTAGCAGCCTTGGAAAGAATGAGCTGGAGGGTTTCAGTACTAATACTGTTACAAGGGCCATTCGAGTGAGAACCTTGGTTAAATCTAAAAAGTTGGATCAGCATCCGAAGCTTTCATTTTAAGTAAACTCTCTGCTAGGGCTGCTGGGGCCAGACCATTAACCTGGTTCATATACTCCATTTGCTTTTAATCTCTTGAGTATACAGAGTATGCATCTCCATTATTTGTTTTTTTTTTTTAATTTTATTTTATTATGTTATGTTAGTCACCATTCATTACATCATTAGTTTTTTATGTAGTGTTCCATGATTCATCGTTTGTGTATAACACCCAGTGCTCCATTCAATATGTGCCCTCTTTAATACCCATCACCAGGCTAACCCATCCCCCTCCCCCCCTCCCCTCTAGAACCCTCAGTTTGTTTCTCAGAGTCCATAGTCTCTCATGGTTCGTCTCCCCCTCCGATTTGCACCCCTTCATTTTCCCCTTCCTACTATCTTCTTCTTCTTTTTTTTTTTTTTTAACATATAATGTATTATTTGCTTCAGAGGTACAGATCTGTGATTCAACAGTCTTGCACAATTCATGACGCTCACCATAGCACATACCCTCTGCAATGTCTATCCCCCAGCCATCCCATCCCTCCCACCCCCCACCACTCCAGCAACTCTCAGTTTGTTTCCTGAGATTAAGAATTCCTCATATCAGTGAGGTCATATGATACATGTCTTTCTCTGATTGACTTATTTTGCTTAGCATAATATCCTCTAGTTCCATCCACGTCGTACACATCTCCATTCTAAATGGACAAAAAAAAGAGCCTGTTCTTGATGGCACACTAGACTTTGACATGCCCGTTAGGCTTAAATAAGATAAAATACCTGATATTAAACTTCGAAAATGTCAGTAAAAGGATTTGACTAGAGCTGACCAGCTCTAGTCCCAAAGGACTTGATCCCTGTCCTGTACTATTACATAGGAATGTGGGATATCAGTCATTTTAGAGAGATTGCAAAGACAATTACTGAAACCTTGACAAAAACATTTGAATTTAGAAACACTCTAATTGATGTTATTGGCTTATTAATATGGCCAGAGAATGCCCAGTTCTGATTATGTACTGCCCAGTTTAATTCATGTGTGGGGATTGGACAATAGGATCAATAGTGCTAGGTTAATTTATATGATGATCTTCCTCTGAAGAACTGAAAATATTTTATATGTCTTAGCACATTCAGTATTATGACTCTTAAGACATCCATGTTTTCTTCTCATTTTATTTTATTTCTCTTGGTTACAGAAAGAATTGGACATAGGTAAAGGATCACAAAAAAGCAATGACTTGGGTCCTCCTCCCACCAAATTTCAGAAACAGATATTTTGTCTTGCCTTGTTCCCATTTGCTAAGTGTGATTTGCCCTGGCACCTAGCTGTTTCAGTGTCCTGCTTGGCTATTAAAAGGAATGAATTTCCCAGCTTATAAAGTTTCTTCTAGATTGATATGCCAAGATTAGACTCTCGATTACTAGAGAAGTCTTTCCAGGAAATAGGACTACAAATCCAGCAGCTTTTTTTTCTCACTAGAAACTAATGTTTCTGTATAGTTAGGTAAATGGCTTCTTTCAAGCTATAGAATAAGGAATCAGAGAAACTAAAACAGGAAAGATACTGTAGGTCATTTAGCCCGTGTTTAGTATAATACTTTACTACTCCCCCACATGCATCTAGGAAGTCAATTACTATGCAAGACAATTTTCTCAAATGGATAGAATTTTACCAACTCAATATCCTTGATGCCTTCTGATTTTGAGTTTAAAAGTGTTATAATAGGAAAGGTCCCTTATTTGATGCAACTCTACATTAAAATCTGTTTATAAACACCTTAAGAACAGTGATTTCCCAAATCCTTGTTCAAATACACACAACTTGGGGCACCTGAGTGGCTTAATCGGTTAAGCATCTACCTTCGGCTCAGGTCATGATCCCGGGGTTCTGCGTCATTGGGCTCCCTGCTCAGTGGGGAGTCTGCTTCTTCCTCTCCCACTGCCCCACTCCCCCTTCCCCGCTTCTGCATGCTCTCTCTCTCAAATAAATAAATCTTTAAAAAAGCAACATATACACCCAACTCATATCATTGTTGAGTTGCTGTCATGTAGTCAATCTGTGGAGTCTGGGCTTTTATAGGGTTAGTGAGTAAGTTCCACATGCTTAACAGTCATGTTGATCAGTTTTCTGTTGTTACAATAAGGCAGGATGATAAAACAATACACATTTATTTTTCCTTGCATATCTCTGATCAGAGCTGGACTCAACAGAGCTTACTTACATGTCTACAGTCAGCTGAAGTCAGCTGACTAGTGAATAGGCAGCTTCTCCAGCCTCTCGCTCATATCTGAGACTTCCCCGAGGACAACGGGGTCAAACAGACTGTTTTCCACATGTCTCATCCTCCAGTGGATCACCCTGGGCATGCTCCTACTTATGGTGAAGGCAGAGTAACAAATACTTGTCAAGCTTCTGCTTATATCACATTTGCTAACATCTTATTGTCCTAAGCAAATGAACTTGACTTAGCCCATAGTCCAAACCACATCCTCAGTGGGAGGAGTGAAGAATTGGGGCTATCAGTGCAATCCCTCTACCACAGTGTGGTGGCTTCATTATCTCATCAGTGAGCACGACTGAAAATGATACACCCAGATTACAAATACCTTTATATGTATTGTTTCCAGTGATTCCTTTTGAGGAAGTAAGACACTTACTGTTCCTGTCCTCAGAAGGAAGAACAGGACAAAGGTTGACTAAAATCAGTTTACCTGGCACTTTCTTATTTTTTCCCATTTCATCCCCACAAAAAATCTACAAGAACTCTTAATAACTCTAATCATTAT